GATCAACTACATCCAGGTTATACAGTGGGTTATAGGGTTTGAAGTACACCAGAGCACTTTCCCCTATATCCTTGGTTGGGGTAGCTTTCACTACAAGGGACATAGTAATCAGGGCTACTAGACAGGAAGGGGACAAAACAGTCATGTCTTGTTCCAACACACCCACACAGGCACATAAATATCATGAATATATCAGCGTCCTCTGAGACGAATAACGCTATCACTGGTCAGCAATTCCCTGGTAGATAGGAACTCTTTACAGGGTAAAACAGCAGATTTCAAGCATGATAATGGAAAATCTCCAAGCTGCTTCTCACTTGTGTTCAAGCACAGGCCTTCCATTGCTATTCATAATAAACCACCACTAGCCTTCCAAGTGGGTGATAAAGATCATGGACTGCTTATAATTAACTGCCAGGGTAAAGGTGAACCAATGGCAAGGGCTTTAAACTGGCCACAGAGCTAAAGGGTAAGTGGGCGGCAGTAAATACAGTTAGCTCTTCTTTTCTGGCCCAAATCTAAAAGGTAAGCTGAAGGCAATAAATGCTGTTAATTATTCTTGCCTGGCTACATAAAATTCCTGGCAGGAGTGAAGACAGAAGGAGAGACTCTTTTAGTCTATTAAAACAATGGACCCCAAAGAACTGGAATTTTCCCAGAAATCTGCTGGGGAGAGGGGAAGGTTGAGGCCCCAGTGCCATTCGGAGGAGGAATGTATCTCCCGGGAGTAGATTTCACACAGCTCTCACAAGAATGGGCATTGCCACAACTGGGCCAGGAGGGCTTAGTTGCCCTTTATTTGAATGCAGACTTCATGTCAGTACTTCAAGGATGGATTTGGGGGCCACTGGATCTCTTTATTTGTTCCTTACCTCCTCTTGGTGCTCATTACTCACACTTGCCTCTGCAGTCTGTGCACTAAGGACAGGTGGCTGAGCCTGTTAGGGTTACCAGAGCCAAGGCCTGGACTCTAAAATCTTTGATATCACCACCACAAAATTAAAAGGCAGACTGACAACAACAAATCCAGTTAGCTATCCTTCCTTCCTTCCTTCCTTCCTTCCTTCCTTCCTTCCTTCCTTCCTTCCTTCCTTCCTTCCTTCCCTCCTTCCTTAAATGTGTCTGTCCTTAGTTCTGTACCACACAGATCAACTCTTAGCTGTCTACAGTGTTAGGTCATATTATATTAAGGTTAAATATTTGCTTCTCATTGGGTGCATAGGTGTGGAGCATTGCTTCTGTGCCCAAGGTTCTTAGGAGGACAATCTTGTACTCTTCAATAAAAATCGCAAGGAACAAATGCTGTGGGCACCCAGCTCTTTATTTCACTGAGTGCCTCCCTTGTCCTCCAAGCTGTATCTTGTTGTCGGGACTTTATTAAAATGTACATTTCTCTCTTTGGCCTCTTTCATTCTTCTTTTCCAAGAAGCTACTAAGATCTCCAGCTTTCCTGCTCTGTTTGTTCTCTCTCTAATTTCAACAAATTGTCCAGTAGTTCCTTTCTGCATCATTTCTTAAATTCTTTTAACAATGAGATCAAGAACCTACAAAAGGAACTCTCTGACCCTGGTGACAGTAGCTAGGAGATTAGTAGATAGATAGATAGATAGATAGATAGATAGATAGATAGATAGATAGATACTGGTGACAGTAGCTAGGAGATTAGTAGATAGATAGATAGATAGATAGATAGATAGATAGATAGATAGATAGATAGATAGATAGAAGACAAACAGATAGATAATAGGTCGATGTATTATATATATTTATATGTTTATGATATGACTTTTCTGCCTGCCAGTACAACCTCACATTTCCATGTCATTCTTTCTTATCAGGATTCTCACCCCAAGGACAAAACCACAAACACATTACACTAAAAGGAAAAGCAGAATTCTGGCAACTACATCAATTTCATGGCTAGCATATGTGGTAACTTCTAACAAAGCAGTGTCAGCCACTCACTGCATATTGGCGAATTCCAAGAAAAAGTTTCCTAAAGGTTGAAATTGTCAGTTTTCTCTTCCTCAATTGAAAGATTCTTATAATCACCTAAAGATACTAATATCAGCAATTCTCAACAGGAAGTCAATGTAAGTCTCTGAGGAAGTTTGTCTCAGCCTTTCCCCAAGGCATGGGACCGCAAAGGGCATGATGTCTCTGCAGGCAAGCATTGTTACAGAAGGCCAAGGCACCCAGAGACAAGCTTAGGGCATAAGCAGGTGTAGAATCAGCCACAGTCACTAACCATTTTCAGACAAGTGAATTTTTAGTAATTTCCAATGACTTAATAAATGGTAAGTCTGGACACCTAGTTATTACTACAGGTATTTTTCAATTAGTTTGATTGTTTAAAAATTAAAATGTATTTTATTGTTGGTAACCAGTAACTACATCCCAAGCAGCAGGGACCCTCTCTCTGGTACCTTGAAAGTTCCATGTAGTTAGTATTGCTCTGGGCATAGGCAAAAATGAATGAATTTGTTCTTGTGGTTTTTCAAGCTGGAGGGTACTCTGACAGACAATACCTAAGTGACCACCATGCAATAATATACATATTGGGGCAAGAAAAATGGGATTGTCCTTTTCCCAAACCACCCTGTCTTCCACTAGGAGCTCCAATAGTTCCTGCTATAGGATTCAAGAGTGTTTTAAAATGTGGAGTTGAAAGATTTTGAGTTGTGCTCCCTGGTAATAATTTCCCCTTTAAAACAAATAATACAGGCAAAAGGTCACTGGCTGAGCACTCAGCACATCTCACAAAACCACCGTGTTGTCTGTTGATTAAGTATAAAAATCTGTCGGTTTTTAAACCTTGCTACGCACCATGGAGTGGAGCTCAGTGGCGCTCTTCTCATACATTCTGCCTGAACCAGGAGTTAATCCTTCTGCAAACAAACCTTTATCTAAAAACACATTTAACCATATATGTCTATACAGCACAGATATGTAAGTGTATTTATAAGTTGCAGATATATAGATATATAGACATATAGATATGTAATTTGTAAGAATCGTCTTTCTTCCAAACACCAGGTCTATGCTACTCTGGCATATATTCAAGAGAGATACATATTTTCTTAAGACAAAGAAAAGATGAAGGGAAAAAACTTATACATCAGATACAGCACATTAAATATACATTAAAAAACCTTAAATATACATTAATTAGTTCTTTTCTTACCCCAAATCTGTCTACCTCAAAGGCTCTTCTCCTGATACACAGTAAGCTCTCAGGTTATCTACTGTTAGATAATGGTCAATAACTGTTGGAACAAAACTTACTGACTTAGACATTTTTCCCATAACTCACAATTGCATTGGAAAAGAATTTTGGCAGAACTCACTCAGCTGAATGATTTTCTACTCAATGTGGCATCTACCAATGTCACCTGATCACTCAGCTAGCAGATGGATGGCCTGGAGGGCTCAAGATGGCATTATTAACATGTCTGGCACCTTGGCGTGGAAGATGGGGCACAGTGTGCATATAAATAGTACCCCTAGACTGTCTTCCAGATAGTTGGACTTCTCGGAGTTTCTAGGATAATCAAAAACATAGCAAGCTAAAGCTACCAGTCTCCTAAGGTTGATGCCAAGAAGCCAACAGAGTAACCACTTCTGCCATGTAAACTGATCAGAGTTACATTAAAAAGTCTATGCAGACTCGAGGAGACATAAGCCCACCTCAGTGAGAGAGCTGTCAAAGAATTTGTGTATATCTGTAATCTACCACATTAAGTACTGGAAATGCACTTGTCTGGTAAATAAGAAAAGTAGTGGGTTTCTGCCTAGTTTGTGATAGTCAGCCTTGAGAAGAGACAGGAGTGACTCTGGAGTAAATAGAAAGCACCATAAGGAAGATTATGCAGGCCATAGAAATCATGTGCACATTCAGAGAGGAGAAGACTTCTAAACCAACGTGAGGAGGGAGAAATAGATTGTTCTGATACAATAATACCCAGCTACAAGGATCAACAAAAAGATTGAGGCTAGTCCAACACTAAATAGAAACTCATTGGGCAGACAGTCTTATCGAAGATTATTTTGTTTTATCTTTCTTTTTACATTTGTGTATATGATGCTTCTGCATGTATGCACAGGCACATGTGTATGAGAGCACATGCTCACCTGTGTAAACATGTATGTGGAGGCCTAAAAGTTGGCATCAGAGGTCTTCCTCAGTCTATTTATTTTGAGGCAGGGTCTCTCACTTGAACCCAGAGCTTGCCAGTTCTAGCTAGTCTAGCTGGCCAGCTTGCCCTGGGAATCCCCCTGTCTTTGTCTCCCAAGTCTTGGAACTACCTGGACTTACCACAACCTGTCTTGCTTTCATGCAGAATTTGGAGTTCCTAATTCTGATCAGCAAGTGTTTTATCCACTGAGCTATCTCTCTAGGCTCTGTTTAGTCTTTTGAGACAGGATCTTGCTATGTTGTCCAGACTAGCCTCAAATTTACAATCCTCATGTGGCTTGGATTACAGATGTGCACCACACCAGGCTCAGAATCCTTCTAAAATTGGGCTTTGCACAGGTGGTTTTCCCCACAGAGTATTTGTGTTATTTCTTGTCATAAAGTATATATACAGTAGATAACTTCCCTCATTGCCTCCTGGCATTATTATTATTATTAAAATATAGTCAGGTGGTGGTGGTGGAGGATGTCTTTAACCCCAGCACTTGAGAGGCAGAGGCAGGCAGATCTCTGTGAGTTCAAGGTCAGCCTGATCTACATAGGAAGTTCCAGGACAGCTAAGGCTACACACAGAAACTCTGTCTTGAAAAACATGTGTTGGGCTGGAGAGATGGCTCAGAGGTTAAAAGTGCCTACTGTTCTTCCAGAGGTCCTGAGTTCAATTCCCAGCAACCACATGGTAGCTAACAACCATCTACGAGATCTGGCGCCCTCTTCTGTGTACATAATAAATAAATCTTTAAAAAAGAAAAAAGAAAAGAAAAACATGTGTGACCATAATATTATTTATTTATTTATTTATTTTTAGGGGAAAACTCAAATGCAGTCCCTCACTACCACAAATTATGCAGTCAAGTTTCTAGGGTTTGGGGAAATCGCAGGGGTCAGCACATCCAGAGTGCAATAGATAAGCCTTGCCTTGAGAAAACCACCTTCATGATCATGGTATCTCCCCTGCCAGGTAAGTATTGTGTAATATTCTTATTGGCACAGTGGTTCTGTTTTAATTCTGAAAATCCACATACTATTTACCACAACAGACAACAGAGACAATTTTTCAAGTCTTTACATTTTATTCCTGAGAATTGACTCAAACTAGATTTGTCTTTGACTCATGAGAGTTTATCTTAGTCTTTTCTTTCTGTTGGTTGTTGTTTGTTTAAAGGAATGGGGTCTTTCTCAGGCTGGCCTCAAAGGCCTGGGCTCAACAAACTCTTGTCTCAGCCTCCTAAGTAACTGGAAGCAGATGCCACCTTGCCCAGATTATCTCATTTCTTCATTTTGGACCTTATGTGCTTTCATTTTGAAAATATTTCCTATATTAACACTAGTAAGTTAAAACACAGATTTTTTTTCTTGACTTCTAAATGCAAAGTTGAGCTAGCGTCTTCAAAGAGAGTCGGGTGTGCCAGCTCTCACATTTCAGAAAGAGCACCCACTAAAATGATGAACGAAAAAAGATAACATCAGGATGGAGAACAAATGGAACATTGCGCATTGCTAATAGCAAACAAAATGGTACTGCCATTCTGGGAAAGCATTTGGGAAAGTCCATCTAGGTTAATTCACCAGGGACCTCAAATTCCTGGAGCCAACATCAACAAACCTTTCTGTTAAAGGACCAAATAGGGACTCTGATAGGCTTGTGAGTCACACTTAGGCAACCTCTCAACTCTGTCATTGCATGAGTGACATGTATTTCAATATAATTTTGCTGATGAAAACAGCCTATTTGAGAGAGAGAGACAGAGAGAGAGAGAGAGAGAGAGAGAGAGAGAGAGAGAGAGAGAGAGAGAGAGAGAGATTGAAAAGTCAATTTTGATTCTTGGGCCTGGAGAAATTAAAATGTATATCTATACAAAAATCTGTACATACATCTTTACAACAGCTTTTTTATCTTAATAGCTTTTTTTTTCACCTGTATCTTGAGTGGGAGATTGTATGTGTTCATTTGTGAAGGATGCAGGTGCACATGTGTACCATATGCATGCGGAAACCTCATGGCAACAACAGGTATATTCCTCATTCATGTTCAGACAGGGTCTCCCACCAGAACTCACAGATACAGCTCAGACTGGTTGACCATCCAATGGTTGACCATCCATTCCCATGTTCCTTCCAAAAACAGAGATTACCAGCATGAATCGTTGTGCCCAGCTTTTACTGTGACTGCCAGGAATCCCATCTCAGGTCCCCAGTGAATTCAACCTTCCCACACCTTTTTTGTTTTAGTCAATCTCTAAACAGATTGGGTGACGTCCACCCACATTGCTGAGAGCCATCTGTTTTACTTGGTCCACCAATTCAAATGCTGATCATTCCCCAAAATACCCCTAGACGCACCCAGAAATAACATTAACCAAACATCTGAGCATGCCTTACCCAGTCAAGTTGACATATTTATCTAATCACCAGTCATCTTCACAAAACTTCATGGTTTTGTGTTTTAGAATTAGATATGTGATACATTTTGAATTAACTCTTGCAGCCCACAATTAGAAGGCACATTGGTAATTAGCTGGGTTTTCTCGGCTAAGGACTGAAGGTCCTGGTCAGCTGGTGGAAAATGTGCAAATGCCTTCAGTGAGAGGCTAAAATTACCTTCTTAGCAAGGACTATTTTGGGTGTAATATGACCAACAGTCAATCACAGGTAGCAATCTTGCTACAAGTGGTAACTAGTCTAGAGGCTACTTATTCCATTTCCAAATTGTGTCTAGAACTCCTAAACTGACAAGAGTGAACTTAAGTTCCAAAAGGTACACTGAGTTACTTCGGGTATAAGATGTCACTGAGGCAAGAGTCTCATCATGTCCTTGAAGAGTTCTGATCCCTCATCCTTCTCCCCTTGCCCTTCAAGACAACCTGCTTCTCATCAACAACAGTTGACTTTCCAGGGTTCTCCTACTCAAATCTATGGCAGCCTAAAAAGCCGGGGGTGTGTTGGGGGGAGAGAGGTGTATGACCCAGCTCAGGAACTTCATGACTATTTCAAAGCCAAGAAAGAAGGTCTATGGAAAGCACTTGATCTATTCTCCAGAGGACATGATTCTGATGAACATACCAGATCATATCCTGGCTACAAAGAGGTGAGGATAGGCTACCAAGTCCTCTGGGGATTTCTGTTGTAGTTTCTTCTCCAAACCAAATCTAAAGAAGTACACAGAGAACATGGGGGTTGAAAGGTCTTGGTTTGGGAGCTCGGAGGGGAGAGCACATTGAAAAGGATTGTCCTTTGGGATAACAAACTTATTAAAAATGTATTAATGCCATGGAAAGACAGAATGGCAGGGGTCATGAGAGCTCAGGCCCACAAAACAGAGTATGGGTTCCTCCTCAGAGGTATCAGAAAAAAAGAGGTTCATTGCCACACGGCTGGTAATTAGTCCATGGTGCTTGCTTGTAGTCAGGCTGTCTCTAATTCCTAGGCCATGGGAGAAGGGGAGGAGAGGTTGAGGATGAGGGACAAAGTCTGGTAGCTTGGGGCCTGTAAATTTCCTTTGGGAAAGTAAAAAATAAGGTGCCTGCCATTCTCCTGGAATCCAGGCACCTGGGGAGTCTGTTAGAGGGTTACAGATTCTCAGACAGGCTCTCTGTAGGGTGTCCATCTGTCCCTGCAGCAGCGATGATCACAGAATCAAATATGAGGGTGGAGGTTGAGAGAGCTGCAGATGGGCCTGATCTGAGTAGCATCTGGTCTGGAGTCTGGGTACCTGGGGTGCCTGTTAGAGGATTACAGATTCACAGAAAGGCTCTTGGTAGGGGGGTTGCCATTTCTTTCACAGGAGCTGTGAGGATGGAGAAAGTGGCTGCTGCAGGTGGTATTAATCTGAGGAGCCCCTACCCCAAAGCCTAATGGGGTGATTTCATGATGATACTGCAGCCATGGCCCAGCCCTATGGTGCCCTTTCTGTCTTCCAGAAATAGTCCATGGTACCAGAGTACATAATAGATTGTCTAGGCAACTTGGTGGCTTTGTCTGCAGTAGGACCCTGACCATGTCTAGAGAGCATCCCATAAATACCAGGGACATGTCACAAAAGCCATCAACCAGCAGCTTCTTTAAAAGAGCTGATGAGTTTTGGGATCTTTTGCCATAGTCTACCTATCAGTTCCCGGGTTTATTTACTTTTTAACTTTTTATTGATTCTTTATGAATTTCACATCATGAACCTCAATCCCAGTCATCTCCCCGTCCCTCCATATCTGCCCTCTGTCCTTGCAATCTGCCCCCCAAAAGAAAACAAAAGATAAAAAATAAAATAAAAATATATTTTTTAAAAAATCTCACTGTGAAAGCTGTGGTGTGTCTCAGTGTGTCACACAGTCTACCCTATTGCCCAAACAGCTTTACTTGCAAATGTTCATTGCAATGAGTCATTGGTGTGGTTCAAGGCCTCTGGCTTCTGCTACACTATCAATACTGGATGCTCACAGGACTCCTCTTGGATATCCTGTTGTTGCCCTGTGTCATGGAGGTCCTGCAGCTTTGGTTCTGCAGGGCTGGCCCCTTCACAAGCTCCAGCCGTCGCATGGGGTAGCTGTTGGGGGGAGGGCCGGTTCAAAGCCCTGGATCTGGGCCTGGGTGGTAGCTCAGCAGGTCAGCCAGCCCACTCTCCTGCACCCACCAGGACCACTAGGCCCAATCCTCCTACCCGTTCCCCTGCACTCACACCCACAGGCCGGCTTTCTTTGCCTGTTTGGGATGGGTGGCTGAATGTGGTTAGAGCTACTGGGCCACAAGCTCGGCCCCATTTTCTTGGTTCCATGTGGAACTTCTATTAGATAATACTGAATTCCTAACTGGGCATGGTAGCACATGCCTATAATCCCAGCACTCAGGAATCTGAGACAAGGATTGCTGGGAGGCCAGACTAGAATACATAGCAAGACCCTGTCTGTAAACAAACAAAACAGGGCTAGAGAAATGGCTCAGAGCTTAAGCCAGCTTTCAGTTCCTCCAAGGGACCAAAGTTTAGCTCCCAGTACCCTTATCTAGTGACTTGAAACCTCCTGGAATTCCTGCTCCGAGGAATCTAATGCCTTTTTTTTTTTTTTTTTTTTGGTTTTTTTTTTTTTTTTTTTTTTTTTGGTTTTTCAAGACAGGGTTTCTCTGTGTAGTTTTGGTGCCTGTCCTGGATCTCACACTCTAGACCAGGCTGGCCTCGAACTCACAGAGATCCACCTGGCTCTGTCTCCTGAGTGCTGGGATTAAAGGCGTGCCACCACCGCTCAACATAATACATAACTTCTTACATAACTTTTTAAAAAAAAATACTGAATTGCTAAATCTGTATCCCATGTGCCTTATTTTCCTCACCGTTTCTAATTCCTTGATCTTTCCTGTGTGTTCTCAAAGAAACTCACCGCTTGTTCTTATAGTTAATTTGCTCTTTGACTGTTGTCATGGTTAGCATTCAGACCCACTCCTTGGAATCCTAACCAATAAGCAGATAATACCCTGGCCAGCCCAGCATCTTGACGTTATCCTATATTCCTGTCCCTTTTAAGAAAAGACTCCTCCCCCTTCACACTCTCTCCCCCCTCACCAGGAGGTAGTGCACACCTCCCCCCACCTCCCACCCCCCCCCCCCCCCCCCCCCCCCCCCCGGGGGGAGTGCCCCCCCCCCCCCCCCCCCCCCCCCCCCCCCCCCCCCGCCCCACCAATTTCTGTCTCTGTCTATCTCCCTATCTCTCTTTTTTCCTCTATTTTCCTCTCCTCTCTCTTCCTCCCACCAAATAAAACTCCCCACTGAGCGCTGTCTCTATTTCTCACCTGCTGTGAGGCACCTTGACTCCACCTGCCAAGGCCTCTCTCTCTCTCTCTCTCTCTCTCTCTCTCTCTCTCTCTCTCTCTGTATTACAACAATCAATCATTGTGTTACTTAGCTCAAATTCTGAGTTCATCTCATTTTTATTTTTCATTTTCATGTGTATGTACGTGTGTGGTATGCATGTATGTGTGCATGT